AGGGTTTAGGGCTTAGAGCTTTAGCATTCAGAGACCAGGGTCTAGGTCCAGGTTTAGCCGTGTCGGAGCTGCAACTTCAGAGAGCACGCGGAAGGGTTTCGGAGCAGGCTTCGGTTGAGGCACATGTGCCTCGAGGGCACACGACTTTTTCATCCATGGCGGTCCATCGGCAGGGCATTGAGCATGATCTGAATTACACCTGGGTTCGGGGTAAAGTAATACAGTGACCACGACGAACTCCCAATGCTTCTACAACCTCATCCCTGATGTAGACCGCTGATTCATGAATTCCCCTTAAGCAGCATCCTATTGCAATTCCTTTTGAAGGAGGATGGGTAAACTCATCATAAACCCTAAACCCAACCCTTAAACCGAAAACCCCAAACGCGAAACCCTAATCCCTTAAACCCTGAACCGTAAACCCTGGAACCCCAAACCCACAAACCCTACGCCCCGTCGCCTGCATCGAGATCGTCGCCCACGGAGGTCGCACAAAAGCAGCCAAAGAGCTTCTTGATGCCTGGAGCACTGGAACAGACCTACATACATAACAGTAACAGGACATACAACGCAATACAGTACAGTACAGTACCATACATACACGCATGCATACATACATACATACATACATACATACATACATACATACCTTTGCATGTATGTGTGTGTGTGTATTTGTTTATGTATGTATGTATATATATATATATATTTATTTATTTTTTTTATTTGTATTTATATTTATGTACTTGTGTATATACGAGTTACATAGATAGATGGACAAATAGACAGCTAGACGGTCGGCCGGGCAAAAAGATAGACAGATACATAGACAGCTCATCGACAGCTAGACAGATAGAAAGTTAGATAGACAGATAGTTAGCAGAGAAAGGTAGATAGATACATAGATGGATAGGTGTACATGATTATGTAGAAACACGCACACACACATTTAATACATGTTCAGTAGATGGTGTATTTTACCATGTATACGTATATATATATATATATGTGAGAAGG